GCTTGGAACATTGGGCTGAGCACTTTGAAGGGCAATTTAATCGGCCAGAATTGTTCGATTATTCGCCGGCCAGCTATCGCCCTGCTCCGTGAGCTTTCCCTTTGGATACGCTTTTTCACCCGGAAGTCGAACGTGAGGTCGAACTGTTGAAATTAACTAAAGCTGCCGAACCAGGTTATCTTCCTCCAGCTCTCTTCATATTCGGGGGACTTGATCTTGTGTATGATGTACAGGAGTTACTAGTGAAACTATAGGAGCAGGAAACTGTCCTAACCGAATTGAGCCGCTCCGCCGAAGTCCCAATTTTCAAGGCAGGCTCACGATCGGAATGCAGCAACCACAGAGGAATCAGTCTGATCTCCATCGCCTCCAAATTGCTTGCCTCTGTCATCCTTCACAGACTGAGTGACGCTCGTGAAACCAGCTTCCTAAAGAGCAAGCCGAGTTTCGTCGAGGTCGGGGCTGCATCGACCACATATTCACTCTACCTCAGTTGTTGGAGCACCGTCACACATATTGGCGACCCACCGTTGTCGTGTTCCTCCATATCAAAGGTGTATCCGATTCGGTGGATGGACGTGCCCTTTAGAACTGTCTACTCAGGAAAGATATGTCATGGAAATATGTAAATATTTTGCAGGCGCTTATGACGCGTAGCTCGGGCAGTGTGAGGGCTTACGGCAAGCTGTCGCACCCTTCAGTATCCCCAGCGGTGTAAGACAAGGATACCCGCTGTCACCTTTCCTCTCCAACTTCGCTACTAATAAAGTCATGGACTTTGCGTTCCCAGGACACGACTTAGAGGGTGTGGATCTGCTTCCACGAGAAAGACTTCTTGAGTTGAAGTATGCGCAAGACATTGTACTCATCTGTGACTGCTCCCAGACGTACCAAGCAGCACTGGACAGCTTAGTATTGGCTGTCATCCGCATCGAGCTTTTCTTCGCACCCACGTAGTGCAAAGCTGTCCTCTAAGCTGAACAGTTTTGTTGCAAACGTTTCATCACCAATCGTGGTGTCTTCTTCAGTGCTTATAATGCACTGAAGAAGTCACCACGATTGGTGATAAAACGTTTGCAACGAAACTGTTCAGCTCTGAGAACAGAACAAAATCTGAACAGATCACCTGAGCTACAAGTATTCCGATTTATAGCTGTCCTCTAAGATTGGCAGGTACCACCTTTTGTGCTGATCCTTGTTATGGATCAGTTAGAAGTCGTCCAATAATTCAGCTACCTGGGAATTTGTATCAGCTTTCGTGGGATTGAAGATGAGATCACGAACCGTATAGCAAAAGGTCGAGGCGATTTTACTAACCTTCGCCACCTATGGAGCCGGCGAGACATCACTCTCGTCCTGAAGTTTAGTGTGTACAACGCAGAGGTACCTTCGACCCTACTGTGCGGTTGTGAAACCCAGCCCATTTGATCAGCGGATATAGTTAAGTTCGCCCAACAGTACCTTCACGATTTGGCTCACATCTGGTGGGAACACCGCGTGAGCAACGAGCTTGTTCGATACCTTGTTTACGGCACAGGAAAAGGAAATTAGCCGCAGAGCACGGCTATTTTACACACTATGCTCCGATGGCTTGGCCAATTGCTACGGATGTCAGTCCACGGACTCCCGCGACGTGCGTTGTTTTCGCCGGTGTGTGGATGGAAGAAGAGGAGGGCTGGCCAAGCGATGACTTGGTCGAGAGGAATGAAGGCCCTCACTTCGCAGATGGCCTCGGTTGGAACGTCTCGGCTCCCTGTTGGGGGTCCGAAAGACGATGAACACGTTTGACTGGATACACTTATTGATATGGCTAGGAGCCGACTTCAGTGGCGTTCGTGCTGTGAGTTCCTTTGTCCCACCGCATTCCACTTAGTCTTCTCCTCGAACCACTATTTCACTTCTTAGCCTAAAATATTTTTGCGCGATAAATTTTTTGCTGCACATAGCCGGCTGGTAGCTTACCGGAACGATGCCCATCCGTTACTGGTAAATCACCTGGCTTGCATCTATTGCATTTCCTTCCTAATTTTCTTTTATGTAGCGCGGAACAGTATCTGAGGTGTTATATAACTCTAACTAACGTGTATGATGTTGCTAATGATGTTTGAGCTATGCACTTTTTATGAAAATCCACGGTTTATGGAGTGTTCAAAATACCCTAATTCATGCCAGCTCTTTCAGTAGGGCTTACCTGCACGGCAAGCATTGCTCGGGCAGGTGTCATTATCCCTGTGCGAACCTTAGTGAAGGTGGCATGCAGCATGGAACTTGAAATAATTCCTTTTCTATGGTTAACATGTGCGCATCATTCCACCTTGGCCACTGAGTGCTAGAGAATCAAGGATTCCAAACTGGTCGATACCGGAAGGTTTTCACTAGATCTATTGTGTTGATATGTATATCGGACTTACACAAGTTTGACATTTTTGCATTTGATTTCGCTGTTATAATTCATTACTTTTTAACATAATCAAATATGCGACGCTTAGCCGAAAAGGCACAGTACGGTTGTTTCATCCTTTCGGGCATTTCAGCAGTGCATCTTCCAAATGACCCTTGTATGGTCACTGGAGAGTGAATAAGGTTACACTACACCCAGAAACTAAGTCACGTCGGTTGCTACCGTCCTTTATATAGCCGTAATCTTAACCAACACACGGGTATCAGCATAGTTTTGGTTTCCTGCCTCTTAGGGGTTAGATGGAATACGCAATGCTGACGATTCCCTAATGGATGAAGGGGCGTACAGTGCTTTGCCGGGAACGTGATGGCTGTCTGACTGTCTAGATGTGACACCGTTACTTGTGTATTCGCCTTCTAGTCATGCAGAATTGCTTAGGAGTCATTAATATGCCTCTCACAATACGTTGTCTCCATACTTTATGAGACAGCGGTTGGTTAGCACAGAAGCCTGCAAACCAACTAATGTAGTACACCCGGTCTGCAGGATTCGTAAGGGCAACTTGCTCTACTGTGCACTCACACTGTCCAAGAACACTCTCATCTCACGGATTTCTTAGCTCCGGTTCCAAATCAGAAGTTTGTATTCAGCGCACAAATTCAGACTGACGGAACTCTTTCAGTGGGATACATATTGCGGTACCGGTCGATCCAGTTGCACTAATTACATGCTGTTTGCCAATTTCTGGGGTAGAACGGGACAGTCAGATGAAAAGTACAAAAATTTTGTCCAGTGGAATTGTCAGGTTTTGCCATGTGAACTCTTCGATTAGATGTAAACTCATTGGTGATCAGAAAAAGAAAGTACAACAGACTGAAAGGTATCATGCTTCAACTTAATACTCCTAGGAAGTCAAATTATTGAAGCAAAAGTTAGGCGTCGCTACTACTACAAGAGTACTCATCAAAATGGTGTATTCCAAGGGTTTAACCTGTCCCCATGGCCGTTTTTGAAAGAGTAATTATAGACAAATTTTCGTCGGAACCTACGCCATCTCATTGAAATTCGTTCCAAGTGAATCCATACCGAAGAGATCAGTCAGTCTGCGCGATTTTGTCGACAATCGCAGAAGTGACTCAGAGCCGCGGTCTTGATGCACAAGCAGCGTTCTATGTTGATGTTGCTTAGTAACGGTAGCGGAGATAGGGTGTGTATTCTGACACTTGACGGTGCCCTAACGAACTCAGTCGAAGAGAAATTACGCGGCAACTGGAGCAATAGAACCGTGGAACAAATATTTGACGGGTACAATGAAGTAGGCTTAACCTGCCTCATAGTTTGCTAGTGGAAGGAATTGCAAATTCAAATGCTACGTAAGTGGACCAAACATAATACGCATCGGCGAAGCGATAGAATAATGGTATATTGAAGTAGGATTGCGGGAGTGAGGTTGTACAGTGCAAAGCCAAATAACAAATTATTATGGGTCATGCAAAGGACAATTGGATTGCTTCTCTGGGTGTTACAATTCCAAAGAATGTTGTCAGTCTGAATGTAGCCTAAAACGCCGCTCATATAACCAGCAGTCTGCACAGTGTTCACTTCTTGTCAACGCACATTCGGCGCGCAGTGCGATTGAATACGTTACTCTCGTTTGTGTGGAATAGTACCGCAGAAGATAATCCGTAAATTGTGGGAATGGACAGGTAATGCCTCGTTCTCATGTACGGTGGATGACGATCACGCGTAAAACTAACAACATACTGGCTTTTTATAAACTCTGCAAATTACCTGTGTACATGTGGTTAAAGCGTAGTGTGGAAGATACTTACCGTCAGCACTTTCAGCTGCATCGACTGTCTGTCTAATGCAGTGACGGGTTAACGATGGTTCAAGAGCTGTAAATTTAACTTTAATAAGCTTACCTAACTGCTAGTGCAGTAGGCGCTTGACTAGTCAGACACCATCCAAAGCAACACTGGCAGAGTTTAGATTTTCCATTGCCCGCATTTTGTCCTTCTGTTACATTTGTTCCTACCACGCAATTCTCCGTGACTTCCGCTTTCAAAATATTGTGGGTCGGACATTCACTGACAACTAGTCAAGCAACTAGTAAGAACCGGTGTCTATAACCGAAAATTAGTATCACTAAAGTGCGATAGCGCGTCTAACCATATTATCAAGCTGCGTGAAATTCACCTTCGCATGTCTTTAGTAGTTTCTGTACTTTTGTGAACCTCCTGGCAGAGCTCTTTCTTCCTGGACTACTGTATCACTCTTGGAATTCCAATGGTAACACCAACTGCAGAAGCAAGAGTCATTGAGTCATGCTTAGAAAGGTAGTATTGTTTTCCAAATTTAATCCCCAAAATCTATGAGATTGGACGGCTAATAACATCCACGCTTATTTGCAAAGCTGAACTTACTCCCTTCCTTTGTTAAGCAATACACGGATTCGGTTTTACTGGCCGGACAAGTGGCGCAAACCAGATAAATCCTTCCTGATTTGCATCTTTTATACGCTACTGAAAAATAACTTGAGATTTATGTTACTGTGCTACAGACATCCAATGACTTTCAACCTACGCTTTTGTTTCAGCGGAGGTATATACGGAAGGTTAAGCTGGACGCCTTTGCAGAACAGCTGATGGACGAACGGCTGCAGTGAGTTTGTTCCGCGTTTTGTCGACATAGTTACCACACATACTCCTTTCTTCAGCTCGTTAACTCTGCATCCCGCTGTGAGAAGAAATATCGAATAGCTCTTAATATTTTCCAGAAATCTTTGCAAAATGCACACCCATATGTTAAGCAACAATGGCAGCAGCACCTACTCTGTGTGAAACCAAGTTTAAAATCAGATAGTGGAAAGTGAGGTAGGAATACGAATCGCCATTTGGCGTCCATCGCACAGTAAACTAGAACGAAAGCAGTCCATCATTTTTACGGACACATTATAGCGCTTAGTTTGAAAATATCTACCCTGTACCATGCGGTTGTCGCCACCAGTTATGTCTAAGGAATAACGCATGCGACGGTGGCATGATTGGATTTCCCTACCCTCATGAAAGCATATTTTTACCTAGTTTTTCGCTTACATACGCCATGTTCGTCTGCATCTCACTGAATAATAAAACAAGGAAGGACTGGCTGTGCAGCGATTCTAGTAGACTCAGCCAAGCACCCAACCCATATACGGGAACGTACTAGATGGCTGTTTAGTCCTGCCGGGACTCGTCAATAGCTTGCATCCACGTGGCTCTGCCGGATTTGAGCCCACGACCTTACTCTTGCGAGTCAGTGACTTATGCCACTGAGGTATTTACGAGGTTGGCGGACTGCCATGAGCGATAGCTAACTGCGATATAGCGCGATGCATCTTCCACTGCCATACATGTTATGAACATGAACGGTTGACCAGAAGGGTCCGGCAAGTGCGCATTACAGAAGAGTCCCAATATGACGAAACGGCCGTCTAGCGTTTTCCTGAATGGGTGGTGACTGCCTGGCCGCGTCCAGCTGAAGCGAATCTTCTCAAAAACACAATAAATCGCCATACTACTCGGCAGCAATCAGTAATCGCCTAAGCAACTTACGTGACACCTCGATTGGTGATGGCTCGCAAAGTAAGTTGTAGCTCGGGGAGTCAGCCCTATCCTGTCCAAGTTTATGAATTGCACAATCGTGCAGGATGAACGATATTCTATCACAGTTTGATATTGGTCATGGCGGTCCGCCACTGTTACAAATGGTTCAGTGACATAAGTCGCTGATTTGTTGGAGTAGGGTCATGGACTCGAATCCGGCAGGATCCGGCGGAGGCGCACAACTGAGTTGTCCCAATAGGCCAAACCGTCCCTGCAGCTTTTACTAGATATCTGGTAGCCGTCTGGCTGAGCTCAGCTGCGACGAACCTACACAAAAACAATAAATCACATTGATACTCAGCGGCCATCCTGCTACTGATTACGATGGAATAGTAAAGCGATTTGTATAGGGTACGTAGAAGTTGTCGCAGCTATATATTCCTCAGACAGTCATCACCTGTCCTGGAAAGCACCGTACGGCCGTTAACTCTATTTGAGAACCGTCAGCAGCCGTTACCGTCGGTCCTTTTCACCCCTCTCTTAGCTCCTTGCTCCTAACTACAGGCTGAGAAGTACCGTTACGAGTTCGAGTCTCGCAGGGACCAGCTGAAATGCACACTTCTGACGATTTCCGAATGAATGAAGTATCCTTACAGTGCGTCTTCAGGCCTGTGATAGCTGGTTGAATGAGTGTAGATGTGAAGAATTGCAACTTATATTACCGTAGTATTGATGTATAAAATGGATTATGCTGCAACAAGTTCCCCATGAACAGTTTGGTATTTCTTTAACCTCCCGATATGTCGAGCCCCACAGCTGTATGGAAATTAGTACCCAAGTGGGAGTACAGTAATTAGTCAGCAACGGTATGCAAATTTCATACTGAGTGGTCATTACTTAAGTTGTACGATTCACCCGTGCCTCATGCTGAGGTTAATGTTGCGTTCATGATGCTTCTTCACCGCGGTTGGGCTAAACCAACTTACACTTAATCTAGGTCTTTTTCTTCTGGATGAAAGTAATTACTCTTTATTTGGTTGGTCCAGTTCTGTTAGTCTGGTGCGTAGTCTGTGTCAATTTTGCGTGTTTGCTTTCACACAAATTCTATGTTGGTTGTCTGATATCCCCATATGGCTTCGCTGGATATGAATGTTGCGAAGGTGCCTACCTGGCTGACATCCTCCAAATCGATTACTGGCGCCAGAAGATTATGAATCATTGCTGGGGGACGTGGTGCACGTTCCTCGTGGCCGTGCTTGGCTCAAGGGGTGGTTCCATCCAGTGTGGAGTGGACTACGGTCCAGCCACCGCCTTGTGTGCGCTTGATTCCCAAATAGAGCATGCTTGTGTTTGACTGTGAAGGAGTGTGGGCCGGCTCCCTTGATGAAACGTGGCTCCCATCCACATGCCTGTCGGTCTTATTGCTTCAGGTTTACACTGGATATGGGGTGTGTGGATGGAGCTGTGGGTGGTGCAGCGCAAGCCATCCATGGTCCCTCTGTATGCTCAGGCGCTCTGTGACTGTCTTCTGGAGGCCCCAGTGAGAGGAAAATCCGGAACCGGATGCTGTCAACTATGATTCACCAACTCCTCCCTGGTAACACAATACCAAACTATTGAATAATTGTGCTAACCGTTTCACTTACCATTTCGTGATCATATTAGTTTATGCATCACACCTGCTTTTTCATTGAGTGACACATGTTCACCACTCAGACACTCTGTTTGTCCAGACCTCCAGTTTTCTTACTATGCTACCCAGTAATCCTGTATAATTCGCCTTTTCCAGTATGGCCAAAGCGGTGCTCAACTTCAGGGCCAAAAGTGATCGAGAAGTGTCAGTGAATGTTGGCGAGTATTTGGAACTGATCGACGCTTCACGGGATTGGTTCAAAGTGAGGAATCAACGTAATCAAATCGGATACTGCCCAAGCGCTGTACTGCGAGTAATCGAACGCAAGGATTCATTTGGACAGGGTCCACCTGTCGCATATGGCTCGCTGTCTAGATACTGAGGTACGCTGTATTGGTCGCAGGTCTTAATGCCTTAGCTTGGGTTACTGCACGCTGTCTCCCACAGAGACGTTATGAAGCATACGAAACCCATGAAAATGAAACGTAACGAATGCTGCCTAGCCTTAAAATGCTGGTTATCCTATTTACTAGATTTTTACTGGTTTCCATGAATCACCAATGAAAAAACGATGATTAATGGAGGTGCATAATTTCTCCCATACTCGATGGAGTTACTCCTACTGACTGATAAATATCATACATGTAGATATCAGGGACAAATTTCATTGAGCAACCTCGTCTTCAGTGATTTCTCATCAGATTACTAGGCCACAAATGAATGACCTGCATGTAAACATCTGAGAAGAGTACAGGTTTAAAAGCCAAGATGGTCTGAGTGACCAAACTAGGATGACTGGCCCCACGGCGAGCAACAATATGTTTGTGCTGTTATCCACGCTTCGCATCTGTGTTGCAAGGGACCAAAGAAGAGTTAGTGCCTGGCCAGGTTTCTTATGTGCACACAGGTCAGGGTCGTGAAGCCTAACGGCGATTGCCTCTGCCACTGTTAGTGTAAGACAACTAACCGCTGGTGTGTGGCATCTGGGTACACAGTATATGGGATGGAACGCGTCATGCGCTCTGACCTGCTGGCTCGAGTTGATCAGGTGTGTAGACACTGCGCTTGCCACTGTTCTAGTCACGCCGCTGTACAGCCAAACTGGACAGTGTTCAATGACTCTCTCGGACAGTCTCCTGGTAGTTCTTCCGATATATTTTGATCGACACGAGTAAGAGAAAGAGCATACACAGAATGAAGTACTTGACCTTGGAATTCTGTCCTTAAGTGGTTGATTCAGGGTCGGCACTGCATAGAAGCTTAGCTGTAGGCTTGCTGCATAGTACGTTTGAGTGATGGCGTCAGAAAGCCTTCTAGACGTTGATTCAACTATCCCGTCCCCCTTGAACGGTAATGAGAAGTAGATCGGTTTCTTTCCTACTGAATCCAATTTTCCTTTCGCTTCTCGTCCCTCCATGTTTCTCCGAACGAACCTCTCCGAATAGCCATTTCTATCATATAGGCTTCGTACAAAGTTTAGCTCGTCCGAAAGCATGTCCTCGCTACATATCCTTCTTGCTCGCTCGGTTAGGCACCGAACAAGTTTCCGGTTCTGTCTGAGCGGAACGAAGCTGGCAAAGTGAGTATGTTGCCCATTCCACGTTGTCTTTCTATGGACACTGCACTGGACCGACCCGTCAGACCTTCGGCTAATCTGAACGTCTAATTACGACATTGAGTTTTTGCACTCAGATTCAAGGGTGAATTTTATGTTTTCGTGGGCTGAGTTAAATTGCCTCACTAATTCATCCGTGCAAAGATGCCTATCTGAGATGCGGAATATATCGTCTACATACCGTCCGTAGTAGACTAATTTGTCGACAACTACCTTTAGATAGTTGTTCTCTAACTTACATAAATACGTCTGCTAACAATGGTCCTAACGGAGAGCCCATTGCGATAGATAGGCTAGAACGCAGCATGAACTCTAACCTGGTGGTTCGAATCGATAAGGCGTACAGATACTGCGCCTGTCACTGCTCTATAGTCACGCTGCTGTACAGATAAGCTGGGCAGTGCTCTCCGGCTCTCTCGGACAGTTGCCTGACGGATCTTCCTATAGATCTTGATTTATGAAAATAAGAGAAAAAGAACACACAGAAAGAAGCACTTGACCCTAGAATTCAGACCTTAATTTATTGATTCAGCGTCGGCAGTGAGTTGAAGCTTAATCGTAGACATGATGGTTAGTAGGTTTGTGCAATGGCATCAGAATGTTTTATAACTGTCAACTCAGCTATCCCCTCCTCCTTGAACGCTAACAATAAGTAGGCAGGTTTCTTTCGTACTAAAACCACTTTTGCTTTTACTACTGGAGGTTCCATATTTCTTCGAATGAAATTTTCCGGATAACCACTACTCTCGATCAGGCTTCGTACTAAGTTTAACTCGTCCGGTAGCACGTCCTCGCTACATATCCTTTTGCTCGTTCGGTTAGACATCAAACAAGTTTTCGTTCTTCACTGAGTGGAACGAAAATTGCAAAATGAATATTTTACCCGTTCCACGCCGTCTTACTATGGACACTCCGCTGAACAGAGGTGTCATATCTCCGGTCCATATGAACGTCCGTGTACAACATTGAGTTATTGCACTCAGATTCCAGGTTGGATTTTATGTTGAGGGGCACGGAATTAATTTGCCTCGCTAGTTCTTCCGTACAGAGGTGACTATAGGGGGGGGGGGCAGAATATATCGCCCACGCACCGTCCCTAGTAGACTAAATTGTTGGTAAGTCCGTCTAAAAGCTATTCTCCAGCTTACTCATAAATCAGTCTGCTAACTGCGGTCCTAACAGGGAGCCCACTGACACTTCGTCCTTCTGCCTATGAACCTTTCCGTCAAACTGTAGTTGCATGTTCCTGGTGCACATCAGCATTAATTATTTAAGTCGGTCTTTTGAGAGGACGACATCCACATGATGCGATCGAACAGCTACACGCAGGTAGTGTACGGTCTCTTCTAGCGGAACATTGGAGAAGAGTAGTGCTATATCTAGAAAACATTTTCTTTCCGGTTATCTACGTAAGTCTTATGAAGTCGAGGAAGCTTAAAGTGTCTCTGAAGCCATGTTTAGATAAGATATTTCTGACCGGTTCTAGAATCTTGGCTAGCCATTTCGCTGTTGAGTGATATGGAGAATCACACATGTCTAATATTGGCTTCAGTGAATCCTTCTTTATGCATTCTCGGTAGATCATAAAGATGCGGAATCATTGTCCCGGAGGGAGGCGTATATGCGAACATGACTGAGTCAATTACAGTCTCTTGCTTCAGACAGCGTAATAGCTTTTTAACTGTCTTCTCTATAGAAGGTGTCCTGTCTTTCTCTTTCTCCATTATCCGGAATTTTGAATGATCGCTCAGGATAACAATGGTCTTATTGATATAGTCGAATTTATTCGTGCGAACCTACACTGTGGCCGGTCAAACGTTGCATCCTGTGCCTTTCTTGAGAGACCTCGGTTCACTCTCAGGTTGCCACCTAAAGTCTGTGGAAAACACGAATAGGCTTTACCAATACGGACTTCGTGTGCCTTTGGCTTTCAGGCGCAGCTTTTGCACTTTGTCCGGGCAGATTGCCACTCGACTCTTCGTCTCAATCATCCGACCAATAATACAGTACGGCTTACCTTCATACCTGCGGCGTGGCAACTGCTTTTGCAGCTTGGGGACTGTGGCAAAATGTTCGAACTGACGGAGGGCAGATAAAACACATGAAGGCCACACAGTCGGCTCAGGGTAAAGTACACATTAATTTTCGATGAAATGGCGCTTGCTTCATTGGGGCGGTGGATAAATTGTGTCCGCCAGCATTAAAGTGCGGTCCACCGTTGTTGACCGCACAGCGGCTCAACCAGCTGGCACGCTCACACATTCCGCCTCTTTTCGGTCTACTTCTGCGGCAGGCGAGGCTCGCATGAACGACCGGTCTCAAGAACCTCAGCCGTGTCAGCCACAAGGACAACTGCAGTGCTGGCAAGGGATGGCGAACGACGTGTTCAGAAGTCGTTGGAAAGTGAATGGAGTTGTGGATGTCGCTGAAACATGGAACAGGTAGATACAGCTACTGTGAGCAAGAAGTGAGTCTGTGTTGCAGAACCTAATATATTTGCGGGAGAAGGGGGCGGTAAGAAAAGCAAACTTCCCGGCGTTCTACGGTGAGTGGTTACGGGAGGAGCAGTGATTAGGTATCATCTAAAATTGTGATATTTGCCATAACCGCTTTAACGAGCACGGCTTACTTAGGTAACTGGTGCGTATCGACTCGCATAGCAATCATCCTTGAGTAGGAGCTGAATCTGGCCGCGTTATACAAGTCACTAGTCAATTAGTGTCCATCCTCTACAGTTGTGTATAGGCCAATAAACGCAAACTGCTGATAGTCAGTTAACCATTCCATTTTGGATGCATTTCGCAACCACACAAATAAATGCGACTATTTTTAACTATGCACGACTCTGTAAAAGGAAATTCGAGAAAATATTTCCTTCTCCCTTCTGTCATTGCCATTATCGGTTACTGACCAAAAACATAGCGAATACCAGTTGCCTAGGCTTACTTTAGTAACTTCGTCTCGATGGAAGTGAATATTGCTCTTACGGCTCCCAAGAATACTCATACAACTAGGAAGTTGTCATTCAAACACTCCGTGTCGAAGTCACTAGTATCCCAGCAGATGAATTCACTCGGCTGTGCGAAGCAACGTAGTGTCAAAATAGTTTACATTGTTTCCGTGGTGAAGAGTAAAGTAGCGGATGTACAAACTGAGCTGAGTATGCTTAAGCAAAATGTCTCCTTTTCGAACCGCTGACACGATTCCTCCTATACTGCCATAGCAAATATAAACAACTTCTGATCATCCTCTGCTAGTAGCTTAACAAATGGGATAGCCGCTGAAACACAACCATTTATCAGATGGTAAAAATTATCGTCTTTAATGTCTCTGCCAGATAATAAATAAACCTTGTAAATCATAAGCTACTTAAGTCTTGTAAACTAAGATTGATAGTAGAGTGGTGCGACTCTACAAGAATTTTTAGGAGCATAGCTGTCCACTAGCATTTAAATTCCACAGTCCATCCGATGTATTCGATGCCGACCAATCAACTCATCGTCTCCGGAATTTAAATCCAGCATCATTAAGGCAGATAATCCGTTCCTGGGAAGAGAGGCTTTGCGCGCCCGGGAACAACACACTAACAACCATGGACAGTGGTTCAAGTAAACCTCACTTGAGTCTAGTCAAGAACAAATCGCTAACGCCTAAGCTGTACCAAAATTTAACGTCAAGGACAATGCTGGTGAAAAGCAGTTTTTTGAATGTGTAACAAATGGTATAGCATTAAGCATTGCGGGAATTAAAACAAGTTCCATTATGATC